CCCGCGCGGACGGGCGTGAGGGCGGGGAGGCGCGGCCCCGGGAAGAAGCCCGAAGCCACTCAGGCAATTCGTGTTAAAGGGGCAATGCTCTCGGACTGTGGGGCCCACCGTCAGGATGCTGGACACAGCGGGCGAGCAGGATGACGGGACTTTGGAGGGCTCCAGGAGCTCGAGGAGCCGACACGAGTAGTGAGTGACAAGCTCCTCCGGGGGGGGAGGGGGGGCCAGGCGTCAGGCCCGCGCACGTCGTCGCCGTCGGGGGCGCGCTCGGGGGCGTGGCCACCGGTCGGGATCTAGCCAGGCCCCGCCCCCAGGCGAGCGGCCAGTGGGCTCCTCCCTCCGCCTGGGTCGCCTCTTAGCTGCGTCTTCCCGCCGGGCCAGTCGTTCTAGAATTCGCCAAGCTTCTCCCCAGGTGCCAGGGAAAAGTGTTGGGGACTGAAAAGACAGGCCGGCGCTCGGTACCTTCCCAGGCCTCCAGTTCCACAATGCTGGCCGCCCCGGCCACCACCTCAGGCCCGGATGCTATCGCAGGCCAGGCCTTACCCGCTCCAGAGCCAACGGGGAGGGGGATGTGGGGGGGAGGTGGGCAGTCTAGAGCCCAGTACCCTAGACTGTCCCCCAAGCACGGGCCCACCACCCTGGGGCCGCAGGGGCTCCCGTGGGTCTCTAGCTATGTCCTCAACTTGGCTGGCCCCACAGGTCCAGCCAGGGTCCCGTCCACCTCTCAAGGGTCTTGTACCGGCTTCAGGTCACCCCCTCAGGCCTGGCCCTCGGCTCCAGTCTAGCCCAGGCCCAGCCTTCCCCCTAGGTCCTCATCACCCCACTCAGGCGTCAGTTGCCATCAAGACCTTGGCTACCCCTTTATCCATGGTTGAGCATCCTCCTATCTAGCTTGCTGAAGCCCTACCCCGTGAGACCTCAGCCCACCGAGTCTTCGGCCACCTCTTCGGCCCAACTATTTGAGGTCTAAACGTCCTTCAACTCCCAACTGCTCCTTGAGTTCTGCTGAGTCACTCTGGCTCAAGACATTCAATTTGGACCCCACTTGCCCCTTTCGGCCCAACTTTATCCCTAGCTGCCCAACTTCCTCTCTCCAGTTCTATAACATTCCATAACTAGCCCATGCCTTGGATAACCTCAAAGTCTATTTAACTCAGATTTTCCATTTGTCTTTTTCTCTCCTTTGTGCAGCTTATATGCACTCCCTTGTGGATCTAGTATTTGCTGCTTTTTTTTAAGGGGGGGAGGACCTATCCTGGGGATAAAACCCAGAGACTTGCACATGCTAGGAAGTGCTCTACCATTCAGCTATATCACCCCAGCCCTTAACATACTATTTTTTTTTCAAGGTGCAAAAGATAAATGGTATGTTTATTAAGTAAAATTTTTACATAGTATTTTTTAAGTATTTAGAAACAAAGAATGAAAGAAGAAAAAGAGAGGAGAGAGAGAGGAGGAGGAGATATTAATGGGTGAATTCCCAGTTGGGCATCCCAATCTTTTTTTTCTTTTTTCTAATCAGGGCTTGAACTCAGGGGACTTGAGCTCTCACTTGGCATTTTTACTCAAAGATGGTGCTCTACCACTTGAGTCACCTCTCTACTTCCAGCTCTTTTGCTGTTTGAAATGAATGAATCTCACAGACTTTCCTGAACAGGTTGACTTTGAACCCAGTTCTCATATCTCAGCCTCCTGAGTAGCTAGGACTTTAGGTTTGAGCCACCCAGTCCATTTTTTTTCTTTTTTTAATTTGTATTTTTTTCATTATTGTGAATAATACCGTACAGAGGAGTTACAATTACTTGGCAAGATAATGAGTACATTTCAGAACAAAGGGTTGTTTTGTTTTTGATGCTGGTCCTGGGGTTTGAACTCAGGGCCTGGGCACTGCCCCTGAACTTTTTTGCTCAAAGCTAGTGCTCTACCACTTGAGCCACATCTCCACTTCCTCTTTTTCCTTTTTTTTTTTTTTTTTTGTTGTTGTTGGTGGTGGTGGTAGTGGTCATAGGGCTTGAACTCTGGGCCTGGGCGCTTTCCCTCAGCAATTCTGCTCAAGGTGAGTACTCTATCACTTGAACCAAAGCACCACTTCCAGTTTTCTGAGTGGTTTATTGGAGATAAGAGTCTCACTGACTTTCCTGCTTGGGCTGGCTTTGACCTCAGATCTCAGCCTCCTGAGTAGCTAGGATTACTGGTGTGAGCCACCAGCGCCCAGCCCTAATCCATTTTTTTTTTTGTTGAGATAGTGTCTTACTGGGTAGCCCAGGCTGGCCTTGTACTTGTGATTCTCCTGCCTTTGCCTCCAGACAGCTGGGATTGCAGACCCTGTCTAGGTTTTATCTAATGGTTTTTGTTTTTTTGGGGAGGATTGTTTTGGGGTTTTTTGTTTGCTTTGGTCATTGGGCTTGACCTCTGGGACTAGGCACTGTCCCTAAGCTTATTTTGCTCAAGTCTAGCACTCTACCACTTAAGCTACAGTGTTACTTCCAGCTTTTCCTGAGGAATAGGACCCAGGGCTTCATGCTTGCTAGGCAAACACTCTACCACTAAGCCACATTCCCAGCCCTGCTCTCTACCACTTTCAGCGAAAGTGCCACTTCAAGAATCTTGGTGGTAATTGGAGATAGAAACCAAATGAGCTTTTCTGCCCAGGCTAGTTTTGAACCACGATCCTCAGATCTCAACCTCCTGAGTAGGATTACGTGAGTCAGCCACCAGTGTCTGGCTTATCTAGTTTTCTTAATTCCCTTTCCTATGCCAACTAGCTCTAAGGTTACCTTTGGCTGCTGGATAAATATACTGGCCCTGTGTAATTGACTTCTCTACTCACTTTTTTTTTTGGTACTGGGGTTTTGAAGTCAGGGGTTGCGTGCTATACCTTAGCATTTTTTTTTTTCTCAAGGCTAGTGCTTTACCACTGGTGCCACAGCCCCACTTCTGGCTTTTTATTGGTTAACTGGAGATAAGAATCTCACTACTTTTCCTGTACAGGCTGAATTAGAACCACAGTCCTCCAATCTCAGCCTTTTGAGTGGCTAGGATTACAGGTATGAGCCACTGGCACCTGACTCCACTAACCTTACCTGTAGCCATTCTGAGCTGTCTCCTTCCCTGTCATCAATTTATCACTCTGTCTACACTTAATGTTTACTAGCCACTTGTACCTAATTCATTTTATATCTCTAAATTCTGTCACTTTTCTACTTGTTCCTACCACCAATTCTCCTTTTTTCTTTTATAATCCCATATTACAATCAAGTCATGTAACTACCAACTATGCATTTTACGTACTCTTCATACTATTTACCTTCAGAAAATTGGCTTTCTGCTTCACCTTTTACAACATCTTTCCTGTGTATTACTATCTTTAACCTTGAATGTTTAGCTGTCTAACACTAGTAAATCTCTTTTTTTGAGTTTTTTTAACTGTATTTTTTTGTCTTTTCTTTTTTGGTACTGGGGATCGAACCCAGGACGTTGCACTTGCTAGGCAAGCACTTTGACACTGAGCTACATCCCAGCCCTAGTAAATCTCTTAAGAGAATTAATAGTCTTCTATTTAAGGAGCCACCCATTATCTTTCCCAGACTGTAGATGTGTTTCTGGTCTCATCCATCTCTACCGCCACTGCATGAATGAATGACTCATTTTCCATTATCTTCCCAGCACCAAGAACAACATTTAGTCCAGCTACCCAAACCAGTCCAGTCATGCAGGTACAAGAAGATGGAGACAACGTCATGCCTTTTGCCAAGTGAGTCCTCTTTACTGGGTAGAAAGGATGGGATGGAAGGAATATTGTATGCTTGGGTTCTTCCTCAAAATGAGTAGGAAATAAGAAACAGGAAGCTCAGTGTCTGAACCCTAGAGGTTGACAATTCATCATGCAACAAATAGCTTTTGAATTTGGGTGTAATAGCTCATACCTGTAATCCCAGCTGACATCAGGAGGATCTCACTTCAAGGCCAGCCCAGGAAAAAAGTTCCCAAGACTTCATCTCAACCAATAGAAAAGTCAGCATGGCCAGGTGCTGGTGGCTCATTTCTATAATCCTGGTACTCAGTAGGCTAAGATCAGAGGATCAGGGTTCTAAGCCAGAACAGGAAGGAAAGTCTGACTTTGTATGTGTATACATGTGTGACAGTCCTGGGGCTTGAACTCAGAGCCTGGACACTGTCCCTGAGCTTCTGCTCAAGGCTAGTGCTCTACCACTTGAGCTACATCATCACTTCCAGCTTTTTCTGTTTATGTGGTACTGAGGAATTGAACTCAGGGCTTCATACATGCTAGGCAAGCATTCTACTAAGCCACATTCCCAGCCCTCTTCAATTTTAATTATGGGGATTTTCCATAATTAGTAACATAGTATGTTAGCTTCAATAATTATCATTATTCAGAAACTTTACACATCAAGCTCCCATTCCCCCAATTGTTTTTTAAAGTATATTTCCAATCTTGTATCATTTCACATTAGCTAGCTAGTTAGCTAGCTAGCTACTATGTATGCATATGTGTGAGCGCATGGGTGTACACCAGCTCTGGAGCTTGAATTCAGGGCTTGAATGCTGCCTCTTAGCTTTTTTTTCCCCAAGGCTGGTGCTCTACCAATTGGGCCACATCTACATCTCTAATCTCATGGACTTTCCTTGCATAGGCTAGCTTTGAATCTTGATCCTCAGATCTCAGCATTACAGGAATGACCCACATGATCACATTTTAAGAGACTACTCTCAATGGTCTATACAGAAGAGATTGTGGAGAACAGGAGATGAGAACAGAAACAGGGAGAAGAAAAGATGGAGATCATTACAATAGACCAGGAAGAAGATTATCCATAATATAATGGTAGGACTGGAAATGATGAAAAGTGGTCTATTTGGGGTATTTTTCAGATTTAGAACTAGCAAGGGGGCTAGGAATGTAACGCAGTGGTAGAGTGCTTGCATGAGGCCCTGGTTCAATTCCTCAGTACCACATAAGCAGAAAAAGCCAGAAGTGGCACTGTGGCTCAAGTGGTAGAGCGCTAGCCTTGAGTTGAAGAGCTGTGGGACAGCACCCAGGCCCAGAGTTCAGGCCCCATGACTGACCAAAAACAAAAAAAAAACAAAAAAAACTAGCAAGATTTGCTAATGTAACAGTTGAAAATAAGGCTAGGCACCAGTGGCTCACACCTATAAGTCTAGCTACTAAGGAGGCTGAGATCTGAGGATCACGGTTCAAAGCCAGCCAGGGCAGAAATATCCCTGAGACTCATCTCCAATTAACCACCAGAAAACTGGAAGTGGCACTGTGGCTCAAGTGGAAGAGTGCTTGCCTTGATCTAAAGAGCTCAGGGACAGTGCCCAGGCCCGGAGTTCAAGCCCCATGACTGACAAAAAAAAAAAGTTGGGCTGGGAAGGTGGCTCAGAGGTAGAGCGCTTGCCTTGCATGCATGAGGCCCTGGGTTCAATTCCTCAGCACCACATAAGCAAAAAGAAAAAAAGCAGGAAGTGGTGCTGTGGCTCAAGTGGTAGATCGCTAGCCTTGAGCTGAAGAGCTGAGGGACAACGCCCAGGCCCAGAGTTCAGGCCCCAGGACCGAACCCAAAAATAAATAAAATGGCACACAAATTAAAAAAAAAAAAGTTGAAAATAAGGCACATGAGATTTTTGTTCTTGGTAGCTGAGCATTTGGAATGCCTTCCAGCCATATGAGAAAGGCTGAAAAGCTGTTGGGTGGAGCTTAAGGAGGAATCAGGGCTGTAAGTAGAGATTTAGGTCTATCAGCACACTGGCAATATTAAAGTCGTAGAAATGAATGAGATCATCTAAATAAAGCAAGATGGAAATGGGGAAAATAAAGAGTTCCTGGACATTCTACTTAAGAACACAAGAAGGGGC